TTAATCGCATGAATCGGAAGATCGGGTTAATAATTAGAACTGTGGTAGAAGAGCCTTTGTGGTATTAACATAGGAATATAGTTAATCTCTTAGGTAGCCATTATTGAGATTTGTGCTTAATGCTGTGTTCTAGAATTAATTGCATAGGAATATAGTAATTGAATCTAGAGTATTAGAATCGTAATTATTTTAGCATCTCAGGTTAGTAATCCGGGTTAATTGCTTGCATAATTGAAAGAATTGGGGGAATAATAATCACATAGGGGGAAGAATAAAATCCTAGGCTTGCTTATCTTGATTAAATCTTCGTTTTAAATTGCTTTCTTGTTTTTGCCTGTCTTTTAATTTATTTTAATTTAGTTAATTCTTTTTAAAGTCGACTGTGTAGGGTGGGCTTGATAATAATTGGTAGAATTTAGCGTCTAGGATTAGATAATTAAATATTTCCTGTGGGTTCGATATCCGGACTTTTAGTCCACTATATTACTTGTACGATACGTGCACTTGCGTGTAGGTTTTCGACCAACAATTTTTTGGCGCCGTTGCCGGGGAATATTTTAATTATTTATTTTATTCTAGCTCTAAATTTGAACAATTTTCACGATTCACCCAAATTATTTTTTTTATTTTTTCGTTTTAATATATTTTTTTTTTCTTTGGTTACATGTCAGGTTACAATTTTCGCGCAACTCAAACGGGATATGAATGGCTTCCGTCTGGCGAATACCTCCAAAATACCTATAATATGCCGTTGCTTTGTTCAATATGTGGTGGAGAACATTATGCTAACCAATGTTGGTATGCACCGAAGGCGAATAATTTCATAGATAATACCAACAGAGGTTACTGGAACTCATACACCAACACGTACGAGCAGAGCAATTCAAGCCAAGATTTCCACAATTTTCAACATCGTGAGCCGCAATTTGATGATTTTCAAACCTATTATGCAAAGCCACGAGAACCCACTATTGAGGAGTGTTATAGGAAATCCATCCTTGAAGATTTTATGAAGTCCACTCAAGCATCTATCCGAAGACTTGAAATAATGTTGGAAGAGATGAAGCTCAAGAGGTCTCTTGAAAATATTTCAGACAATATCGAGAATGGTTGCAACAAAGAAAATCTGTCTGAAACTTGTGATGAGAAAAATCCTTTAGACCTAGAAAATAGTGTCGATGAGAGGGAAAAAGAAATTACGAAGACACTTGACGATGATGAATCAGACAATGAAATTGAGCTCAACTCCAAAGATGTATCGGAACAAGAGAAGAAGGAGATGGATGTGGTTAGTGCAAATATTCAAATTGAGGATATTATTGTTGTTCATGACGTGGCTTTGAAGGCATCAATAGAGGTTGATGAGAAGACGAATGTGTTTGAAGTGGAGGTTATACGCGGACGTGAGGTTTTTGTGTACCGATTTGAGGGAGCGGGTGATGAAGATCCCAACTTGGCTTCGTACCGATTGATTACAACTAAGAAAGACTACAAGCTAAGGTGGACCCGACATATTGCAATCCTATCCCTGTATCGGTTGCAATTGAAGTGACAAAGCTCATGGATGGATGCGCAATCTACAAGGCTTTGGATTGGACTTAACAATTTTAAGAAAGAAATGTCCGGCTGAAGACTTTAAACTTAGCGCTTCTCGGGAGGCAACCCGAGCTTTATTGTTTTTCGTATTTTTATTTAATTTTTCGTTTCGTTTTTAAAGCATGCATTCTAATTTATTATTTGAATTTTACTTTTCAGGGTCGAAAACGTGATCGAGGGTCGAGTCGGCTGTCCGTAAAAAAAAAAAAAAAAAAAAAAAAAAAAAGAATTGGCAGCACTGGATTTGAGACGGCCGTCCGAAAATAAGGAACAAAACCGGGACGGCCGTCCCAAAAACAGTACCGGGGCAGCAATCCTCGGACGGCCGTCCGAAAACATGGTATAAAACCGGGACGGCCGTCCCTAAAACAGAAACGGACCAGCACATCTCGGACGGCCGTCCGAGAAATAGGCTAAAAGATGGGACGGCCGTCCGAACTCAACAGGGGGTGTTTTAAATTTTTGAAAATTAAATTTTCTCCCCCATTATTTCTTAAACCCTCCTCTTTCATCCTCTCAACCTCCCACACACAATTTTCGAATTTTTGAACTTCTCTTCGAAAAATTCTTCAATTTCACACACATAATTCACTCACTCACTCTCCAATTATTAATTTGTGTTGGTATTGACAGGGAGGCTAGAGAATCGAACCGACTTCTTAAAAATCTAATCTTTCAAGGCACGCCCACAAGGTGTTCGACAAATTGCCTCAACCAAATTTGGAGGTCGATCTCATCCAATTTTTACCGGCACCCATTCTTGAGCCCGTACCCGAGCTTTCCGATGAGGACGAGCGTGAGAGAGCGAGAGAGGAGCACCCCAATCACACCGACTCCGAATAAATCAGGTGTTTTCTATCCTTAAAACTTTGTGCTAATTTCGTTGAGGGCAACGAAAATTTTAAGTTTGGGGGTGAAAAACATGTTTTTGTGCTTATTTTTTGTTTTAGTTTGCATGCATTAGGTTTTATTCTTTTTATCGTTTTTCTCGTTTTTCCGGAATATAAAAAAAAAAAAAAAAAAAAAAAAGTTGCTTGAGTCGAATGCATCTATGATTTATGATGATGAGAGATGATCAATGTTTGATGATGAAATTGCTTGTTTTATGTGATAAGGATTTGATGTTTGTTTAGCTTTCGATTCAACGTAACTTAGAAGCGAATTATTGCTAGGAATCACATTTTGTGCATTGCTTTGGTTGAATGTTTTGTATTGTAAATTTGGAATTAATTTGTGCTAGATCATGCTATGTTCGGTTTTAAGACTCACCTTAGGAAATTTATGATACGAAGTATTGAGTAGTGAGTGATTTGGGATATGATTTGGGCCTTCTTTGAACCGTTTGAGCCTTTCAAGCCGACCTTTTTATCGAAATTATCCTTAGAACCTTGATTTGAGCCTCGGAGAAAAGGTGTTCTTTCTTTTAGCCAACGTGTGTAAGGTAGAAAAGTGGAGGTTCTTGAAAAATTACCCCTTGGAGTTCGGTCGAAATTGTTTATAAGGTCCTTCTTCTTCTTCTTCGAAAAAAAAAAAAAAAAAAAAAAAAAGAAGACAAATATATATGCTTCTATATATATATATAAAAAAAAAAGAAAAGAAAAAAAAAAGAAAAAAAAAAGAAAGAAAAAGAGAAGAAGAAGAGACTAGAAGGGAGAAATAAGGACTAGATGTTGAATTATTTTTGAAAACTCGATCCATTGTCTCAAAAGCAAAAGTGGAGACTTTTGAACTTTTGAGAATCGAGTTTATTAAAGTCCGTAGAGGTGAATGCATTGTTTCAAACGCCTATCTTTCAAATTTTGGCGTAATCACCTAAATTCAAGAAGAATAGCCACACATACCCATATTTCCTACCTCGAACCAAAGAGCCTAACAATTGAAAGCCACAAAGCCCCAATGATCCCAATAGCTTAATGTTCGATATTAGTAGAGTAGAATAATTTGGAGAGTATTTGGAGTCAAGCATATGCATGTAAGTATAAATTCTTTCTATCTTTAATTTGCAAATATTGGATGCTTGAAGCAATTGTATGAATTGTGGTTTTTGGTAATGGTGAGTGACTAAGTGTTGTTGAATTTTGAGCTTGCGAATGCCTAAAAATTGTCATTATAATTACAAGTTCTGAAAACGTGAAGTTAGTCATTGATCTATGTGATGAGATGTTATCGTTGAGTTATTTGCTTATTGGTAAATTTTGCTTGAGGACAAGCAAAAGTTCAAGTTTGGGGGTGTGTTAAGTGTATATTTTTACACTTTATCATATCTTTTTATTTGAGCTTTTGGTGTGTTTTAATGATAATTGGTGCTTAAAAAGTTGATTTATTGTATTTTAGGTACAAATTGAAGAATTGGAAAAGTATGGGGTCAAAACTGCAATTTTGGCGAAAATATGGGTCAAAAGTGAAAATATCAAAATTCTGAAGATTTAATGCTGAGACCCCCGTCCCAGTTTTAGTGCAAATCGTGGGACCCCCGTCCGAGAATCCGAAGTTGCGCAGAAAAGGGATTTTAATTGCACAAGGAAACTGCCTTCTTCCGCAAGTTCTTCACCCTATATAAGACCAAGCCAAGCACACAATTGGGGATCAATCTTTGGACGCAAATCAAGAGCATAGAAGATCAACGAAGATTCAAGCATAGTTTTTCTTATTTAATTTATTTATTTTATTTTATTTATCATAAGAATTACGAGTAGCTAAGTTTTTATTTCTAGGATTTTATTTAGAACCCTATGTGGGATTTATGAACCCAATTCTATGATTTTATGCAAGTTTTAATTCCGGATTATTTCTTCTACTTGTTTTATTAAGTTCATGAAACTGGCCACTTTATGCGCTTTTATGTTATTGTTAATCGCATGAATCGGAAGATCGGGTTAATAATTAGAACTGTGGTAGAAGAGCCTTTGTGGTATTAACATAGGAATATAGTTAATCTCTTAGGTAGCCATTATTGAGATTTGTGCTTAATGCTGTGTTCTAGAATTAATTGCATAGGAATATAGTAATTGAATCTAGAGTATTAGAATCGTAATACACGCGGAAGCGGGTTATGATTATTTTAGCATCTCAGGTTAGTAATCCGGGTTAATTGCTTGCATAATTGAAAGAATTGGGGGAATAATAATCACATAGGGGGAAGAATAAAATCCTAGGCTTGCTTATCTTGATTAAATCTTCGTTTTAAATTGCTTTCTTGTTTTTGCCTGTCTTTTAATTTATTTTAATTTAGTTAATTCTCTTTAAAGTCGACTGTGTAGGGTGGGCTTGATAATAATTGGTAGAATTTAGCGTCTAGGATTAGATAATTAAATATTCCCTGTGGGTTCGATATCCGGACTTTTAGTCCACTATATTACTTGTACGATACGTGCACTTGCGTGTAGGTTTTCGACCAACAGGTAGCCTTGTTGGTCACAATAGGAAGTAAATCCTGCAGAGAAACAGGGGGCAAGCCGTGAGTGATCAAATTTCTATTAGTCCAAATAGCATAAAAAAAAACAGCAACAGTAACAAGAAACTTTTCTCTAATAATATTAGAAGGGAAAACTCCACCATTCTTTTTAAGAATAAGAGCTAACCAATCCTTAATAGTGTAATTATTGAAAGACTCAAGAGAAAAGTTCCAGTTTGAGATGAAAAATAGTTGTTTAATAAAGACACAGTTAATAAAAATATGATCAACAGATTCAGGAAGTGAATCACAAAGAGGGCATTGAGTGGGAATAGAGGGCATGAAGATGCTAAGTTTAGATCTGGTAGGGAGGATATTATGAATGATTCTCCAAAGGAAGAGTTTATGCCTGTTATGAAGCTTAGCAGTCCAAAGGGACTTCCAAGGAAAAGTGTTGGCATTAAACGCATTATCAATTCTGGAGGAACAATCAGTGAGGTAAGCACTCTTGGTAGAGAAGGTTCCTGACTTGGAGGAAGACCAAAAGAGTGACTTTGGTTTGAAAAAAGGAGAAATGTGGATTTTCCTTATTTCCTTGACCACAACAGCAGGGAAAAGCTCAGCAAGGAGACTAATATTCCATGAAAAAGAGGTATGATCAATGAGATCTCTAACCCGAAGATGGGGGATGAATAAGGAACAAATGAACCAGGAGGGCAACGTTTGAAGAAGGGGATAGAAGGGATCCATGGGTCATCCCAAATAAGAACATCAGAGTTGATAGTGATGGAGAAGCAAGCTCCTTTGTGAATGAGATCTTTGGAAGTAAGAATATCTCCCCATAGTCTAGAAGAAGATTGAGGTTTAGGATTCTCAGTAAGGAAGTTTTTATGGCCAATGTATTTAGCAATAAGGAGTTTGACCCAAATTTTTCCTCAGAACATGCAATGGACCAGGCCAGCTTAGAAAGTAAGGCTCTGTTAAAGTCCGAAGTTCTTTTGAACCCCAACCCACCCACAAATTTAGGGAGACATATACTATCCCAGCTTTTAGGCATGTAAGAATTTCCATTTGAGTTTTGACCCCACCAAAATTTCCTGAAAAAAGCATCAATCTTGTAAGCTATGCTGCAAAGGAGGAGGTTGACAGCCATATGGTAAGAAGGAATAGCCTGAGCAACAGAAGAGATGAGCACACTTCTACCAGCTTGAGAAAGGGTTTTTGCTTTCCATCCCGAGAGTCTAGCATTAATTTTGTCAACGAGATCAGAGAATGAAGCAGTTTTGGATCTTTGGTGGCAGAATTGGAGGCCAAGATGTTTTTCCTTGTGGGAGCATTCTCTAAATCTAAGGAAGGAGAGAATGTGATTTTTTAAGTGTGGGGGAGTATTATCACTGAAATGAATGGATGATTTTTTAGGATTGGGGAACTGGCTAGTCCACATGGAGAATTTATCCAATGTGTTTCTAATGCAAGCAACATCCTCAATGGAATTCCTGCAATAGAGAATGAGATCATCAGCATAAAGGAGATGAGTGAAAGAGGGAGCCGTTCTGGAGACTTTAACTCCTCTGAAATGGTCAAGACTTTCCTCCAAATTAAGTAATCTTGAGAGAACTTCAGAGTAAAGGACAAAGAGGAAAGGTGAGAGAGGATCACCTTGTCTGATGCCTCTAGAGGGAATAAGATTACCTATTGGAGAGCCATTGATTAGGAAAGAAAAAGAGGAGGTGCCTAAGCACTACATGATCCAGCCTGTGAACTTGCTGCAGAAACCAAGGTTAGACAGAATGCATTCAATTAATTTCCATTCAACTCTATCAAAGGCCTTAGAAAGATCAACTTTAATAGCAAGAAAACCTTTTTTTCCTTTCTTTTTGTGAAGATAGTTCATGATCTCATGAGAGACAATATTATTGTCATGGATATTTCTATCTTTGACAAAAGCCATTTGAAAGGGAGAGATGATGGAATTGAGAAGGGGTTTAAGCCTATTTGCAAGAATTTTTGATATAACTTTGTAGGTGATATTGCAAAGGCTAATGGGTCGGAATTGATCAACAGAAGTGGGGTGGGGAATTTTGGGGATTAAGGCAATGAAAGTGTGGTTCAAAGCTTTAAGAAGGAATCCATTTAAAACGAAATGTTGGACAGCTGCAACCAGAACAGGACCAGTAGTTTTCCAGAATGATTTGAAGAATAAGGGAGGCATTCCATCAGGCCCGGGGCTTTTGTTGGAAGCAAAGGGAAAAAGGGTGGTTTTAATGTCTTTGAAAGAAGGGATTTGACAAATCTCACTATTGGTATCATCAGAGATGATGGGAGGGAATAAGTTATCCAGATTAGCAGGAAAAGGGAGGGAATTGTTAGTGTAGTCTGAAGAGAAAAGGTTGGAATAATAATCAAGAAAACAAGAGCCAATTTGATCATTATTATACACTAGGTTCCCACCAGAGTTCTTAATAGAAACAATTCTATTAGTTCTGCCATGAATAATGGACGAGAGGTGAAAGAATTTAGTATTAGCATCACCCTCCTTAAGCCATTTTTCTCTAGATTTTTGTTTCCAGAAGATTTCAACTCTTTTGAGCCATTCATCAAGCTCAAGTTGCAATTTTTTCTCCAAAGACACATTTTCCTCAGACTGATCAGCAGTTTGGATAACATTGATTTTTTCTTTAAGGAGCTTAATAGAATAATGACAATTACCAAATTTAGAAAGATTCCAAAGTTTAAGAGCTTTCCTGACATTTTTGATCTTTGAGTGAATTTGGTAGTGGGGGGAACCTCTGCAAGAGATCTTCCAAGCTGTAGAGACTGTATCAAAACAAGAGGAATCTTCAAGCCACATAGCTTCAAAACGAAAAGGTTTAGGACCATTAGAGATGGAGATGGAGGTATTGAGAAAGAGAGGGCAATGATCAGAGGAGAAGGCAGGAAGATGAAGAACACTAGCATGAGGGAAGGAAGAACACCAGAGAGAGTTTGCAGTACTCCTATCAATTCTTTGTTGAATGTTTTTGGAGCCAACACGTTTATTGTTCCAGGTGAAAGGTCTACCATGAAAACCCAGGTCAATAAGGGAAAGAGAGTTTAGGTCAGAGAGGAGCGAGTGATTGGAACAGAGTTGAAATCACCCATAAGAAGCCAAGGCCCATCCGTGACATCATGAATAGAATGGAGTAGATTGGAGAAGGTTTGTTTGCCAAGAGAAGAGCAAGGGCAGTAGATGCCTGTAAATTGCCAAAAAGGGAGGGAGGGGTCACAAGAGACAAAAGCATTGATCAGAAAATTGTTTTGGAGAGTTATGTTCACCGAAAGGTTTGAGGTCCAAGCAAGACAAAGACCTCATGCCAGACCAACAGGTGGAACGAAAACTTGATTAACAAGAGAGCAAAAAGAAAGAGCTTTAGAGATAGAGTGGGTGGAAGAAGTTTTAACTTCAGAAAGGAAGAGAAGATCAGGGGAGGAAGAGGATAAGAGCTGTTTTAGAGCTCTTACTGCCTTGGGTTGAGCCAACCCTTGGCAGTTCCAGGCAATGATTTTCATTGGACTAGTTTCTTGACCCCTCTGGGCCTGCGTTTTTGGTTGGGTTTTTTTGAGTGGTGATTGGTGAGTCCACCAAAGTATCATGATCTTCCGGGATTTCAGTAATCAAGACAAAAGATTTGCTTAGTCTGTGGAGAAAAGGAGTTCCAATTCTAGTTCTTGTAATCTTGAAGATTTTCCTGTCTATTCCATCTGTAAAAGATGGAGCCATGGATATCTCAAATGTGGGGCTTATAGAATTTGGAAGGATGTCCCCCAATGACTCTGTATGGGATAAAAGAGGGGAATCAAAGGTTGTAGGAAGAGGTTTAGAAAGAGCGAGGCTTGTACGGAGGTTTGGAGATGAGGAGAGAATAAGTTTATTCAGGTTAAGAGATACCAGGTCAGACAAGACTTCTACACCAAATTGAGACATTTCGAATTTGATTTTTTTTTTCCAGGAGATTGGGCCAGATCAAGGTTTCTTTTGTAATTAAGAACAGGCCCAGTAGAGGGGCATTTAATCTGGCTTTTAATGGATGTATTTTTCAGCCCAATAAGGGGGGTCCACATATTTGGTGATATAGCTATTTCTCTAGTCTTTTTTGGCGGGAGATTTGAGAATCGATTTTCAAAGGAAATAGACTTTTTTGGATTGACTTGGGCAAGATGAACGTAAGGGAGAGGCACATTATCCAACAAGGGATTTTGGTGATCCTTAGAGTCATATCCCATTAATATCTTTGACATGTCTTTATCAGCAAAAGGAATGACTCTAGAGTAGGTAGGGGGGGTACTAGTTTATTTAAACTAGAAGGGGAAGATGGCCATCCAGATCGTGCCACGTCTTCAACCATAGGTTCAGCAGAAGAATGGAATAGGGTAGGTGTTGGAGTAGGGGGAGGCTTAGAGAGGCTGGGACTATTTCCGGCGAGATTATCCGGTGGGGGGGTGGTTCCGGTTGGTGTAACATGGAGGATTTTTTTGTGAATTGTGGGAAAGTGTGGGTTGGGAGTGAGTTGGTTTTCAGATTTTAACCATGGTCCAAACCTACACATTGAGATATCCAAGCCCCCATCTTTTGGGGCAGATAGACAGGTGGCTATTCGTATATGGATGTTTATATACAGTACATCAACTTGTAGTATACTACGGAGTACTATGGTATACTGCGCAGTACTATGGTATACTATGGTGTACTATTCCAAACCCTAGCCGCGAACCCTAGCAGTCGACGCAGCCGCCGTCAAACCCTAGCAGCCAACAATTACAGCCGTCGCACCCGTAGTCACCTACCTTCTTTTGAAAACCCTAGATCTGGAATTTTGAACCCTAACGTGTGCCGCCACACAATCGTTGCCCTAAGAACGTTTTCAATAACCTTTAACAAATCGAATAAAAATAACAAATCAGATTCAAACCAAGCCAAAACTCTTTAAAAAATCAATAAAAACATATGCAATTAGTCAAAATATACTTTTAATCACATATCTATACAAAAAAAATTGAAGAAAATTAGCAAATTTTTATAAGAGAAACCACCGCGGCCGCCTCCACAGAGAGATGACAGATCCAAACCACCGCGGCCGCCTCCACCACCACTTCCTCCGTCGCTCCCCTCCTCCTCTCTTGGTCGCCGACCTTTGTGCTTGATGGAGAAGCAAGATAGAGATGTAAAGAGAAAAACAGATAGAGAGAGAGATTGACATACAGAAGACGAGAGATAGGGGGAAAGAGAGAAAACGAGAGAGAAGACGGAATAAGAGAAATAAATTTGAGATGCGAAACGTGATATATGTAAGTTATAAGATTTAAGGTATAAGGGCAAGATAGGGATTTAAAAAAATTTAGGGATGTGAGTAATATATTATTTCAAACGAGGGATTTAATTAAAAGATTGGATTTTAACTTGTCATTTAGTTCAAATTAGGTTTGATTTGAGGGACTCATAGCATATTAACCCTTAAAAGAATTAATTTTGAATGAATTAATTTATAATAAATTTTAAATCTTTACACTCTTAAGTTGCAATATTTGTTTTTTTTTTCTTTTTTAATTTAAGTTTGAAAATCATTGATTCAATGATCAACATAAAGGGATCATTATTAATTAGTAGAAATCAATATATAAGGGCCAACTGTTGAAAGATAAATTACATAAAACGAAACTATTTTATAAGTTTCGATTCTATTCCTTTTTCAGGTTCGATTATTTACCCTTTGCGTCATACATAAGCGAAGAATTCAATTTTTCGAAAGTAAAAAATCATACCAAATATTTTGATATTCATAACAAGCTAGCTCCATGTTTCGGTTTTCGATTTTTTTCACACACCCGTAAGCCCTATGATCATAAAGCATGTGGGCTTTGCCAAGCCCGGAATATATACGTCTTTATTCATGACATTTGATTTAATAAAAAAAAAAAATTGTTAATAACTGTTGGGTATCCGCCCAACGAAGACAAACCACACAAAATCAAAATACTTATATTTTAGGGTTAACTGCAAAAAATCCCCTAAACTTTGGACGTTTTTGCACTTTACCCCCTGAACGGAAAAAAGTTGTACGAGCATACCTTAACTTACTAAATTGTAGCACCGAAGTCGAAATTGTCCATTTTTGGCAAAAAAATGGCCGGAAGGCATAACACGTGAGAAGCACATGATTTAAGATGGGTAAATTGGTCTTTTCCTCTTACACCTGTTTTTCTTTCTTTTTTTCATTAATATAAACAAATCTTAAAAAGAAAAAGAAAAAAATTGGATATAATATGCAAATCGTTTTATTTTTTAAATTATCATATGATTTATGGCTGTGTATTTGAAAATTTTGTAATATTTCAAAAACTTTTTTAACGTTATTTTATATTTTTTCCAATAAATTTCAATTCATTCAGTTATCAGTATTCAAATATATAGTATATATTACATTTATAAATACAAATAATTATAAAATTAGAAGAAAAAAAAAAAGTGATCTTCTTCGTTCTACCCAACCACCCCCTCTCCACCACCTCCGCCGCACCTCATTTTTCCTTTTTCTCAGCCATCGTCACCGCAACCTACGCCGCCCGACCTCGTTTGTGAATTGCAGCCTTGTGTTCCACCTCAAACGAATTTCGTTTTCCCAGCCCTGTGTTACCACTTTGCAATGAAATTGAAGCAAAAAAATCGCCGGAGTTGTGGCTGCCGACTACGGCCAAACAAAATTCACAAGCTATGATTCTGCCACCCCCTAATTTCCAACCCCCTTCATCCACCACGAATAGTCAATAGAGCGGCGCCCTAACCGAAATCAACGCCGTCGTTCCGCGCCAACAGCATCTGGCTGATTTTTGGTGGGTCGAAGAATAATGAAACAAAAAATGATGGGGCTGTTGGTTGGAGAAGATGAAGGGGATGGCGGAGCAGAGGTGGTGGTGGTAGTGATGTCTGGGAAATGGGGCTATGGGTTTTCTTTTTCTTTTTTCTTTTTTCATTTTCTTTTTTCCTTTTCTTTTTTTCCAAAATCTGGCGAATTTGCCCCTCCATTTACACGTGGGAGTTGTACGTTTGTAATTCCGGGAACAATTAGGCTAAAAATGGACAATTTTGGTTTCGGCGCTACAAATTAGTAAGTTGAGGTATGCCCGTGCAACTTTTTTCCGTTCAGGGGGTAAAGTGCAAAAACGTCCAAAGTTTAGGGAATTTTTTGCAGTTAACTCTATATTTTATTAGAAACAATTAAAATATAATATAATATAATAAATCAACAAAATCAATCTTATATATAAAAGAAAGAAACGCTAGGGCAACCCTAAGAAACCCTAATGTCATATTTGTAATTTGTTTTTCAATTTTTATCAAATTTTTATCTCCTTCATATTATTTTAAATATTAGTTTCGAATTTTATCGTATTTGTATCCCCTAAATATTATTTTAAATATTATTTTTTATTTTTATCAGATTTTTGTCTCCTAAATATTATTTTTTATTTTTATCAAATTTTTATCTCCTATATATTATTATAAATAATATTTTTTTAATTTTATCAAATTTATATCTCCTAACTATAATTTTAAATATAATTTTCAACTTTTAGCAGATTTTTATCTCCTAAATATTATTTTCGAATTTTATCAAATTTATATCTCCTAAATAATATTTTAAATATTTTTTTTTCGAGTTTTATCATGTTTTTATTAGTTTTTTATCTCCTAAATATTAATTTTGTTTTTTATCAGATTATTGTCTCCAAAATATTATTTTCGATTTTTATCTCCTAAATATTATTTTAAATAATAATTTTGATTTTAATCATATTTTATCTCCTAAATATTATTCTAATTATTATTTTCGTATTTTATCAACTTTTATCTCATTAACATTATTTGAAATATTATTTTCGATTTTTATCAAATTTTTATTTCCTAACTATTATTTTAAATTTTATTTTCGATTTTTATTAGATTTTTATCTCCTAAATATTATTTTTTGATTTTTTTATCAAATTTTTATCTCCTAAATATTATTTTAAATATTATTATCGATTTTCATCAATTTTTATCTCCTAGATATCTTATATATAAAAGAAA